TTCACAGTCTCTCCCGGGTGGTTATGCCGCGCGTTTGCACGAATGGGGATGTCGTCGTATCAGAGGAAGGGCGAGGCGAAGGATGCTAATGCTGAATCCATTGCCATCGCTAGGGAGACCATACCGAAAATCCTCAAAGATTTTGGGTACGAGGCCGCGGATGTGTACAACATGGATGAGACCGGATTTATCTCCGGTCAACAACCGCGTCGCACGTACGCGAACGAATCCGTGGCGGGAGGGAAGTTAGACAAAGAACGGTTTACCCTTGCATTGTGTTGCAACGCCGATGGCACCGATTTGATGAAACCAATCGTCATTGGAAAGGCATTGCGGCCGACTTCATTCCGGAACGATTTCCACGTGGACGACTACACTTGGTACCGTGCAAATAGGCGTGCATGGATGACCTCAGAGGTAAGCAATGAATACCCCCGCCACTTCCCACTTGTCGTGTATGCAAACATTATTTCCAACTTACTCACAACTCTCTTTGGCTTTCTTGTGTTGCGCATAGATCTTCACCCAATGGGTGGACGCGGTGGACGGCGACATGGGATTCAAGGACCGGAAAATCGCAATATTGGTGGACAATGCATGCGCACACAACATCAATAACATCGAGGGAAAGCGCGAGTTTTGGAGGGACGGGATCAAGGTTGTGGAGCTTCCAAACGTGAGGGTAATTTATCTACCCCCAAACTGCACTTCCCACGTACAACCCTTGGATCAAGGTGTCATCGCAACATTGAAGTTGCGGTACCGGAAAATTTTGGTCACGTGGTTGCTTGATCAATTTCAGCGCACGCGTGATCAAGAGGCACGGAAAACTGTCCGGCCCGACTTGCGGACTGCCATTACATGGATATGTGGTGTATGGAGTACTATGGGTCGAGAGATCATAAGGAGGTGTTGGCGTCGGTCCGGTGTGGTGCCGTACACTTGGTTGGAGGAGTGGGGGTTGGAACGGTTATTTCAAGGACCTTCTAAGGACCCGAGACGGCTGACATCACAGCTCTAGGTGTGTTAATGAAAAAAACTGAAGATTGACGATCCTTTAATGACCGCTCGGGCGTTCGTTGGTTGTGACGACCACGTCGCCACTTCTACACGCGTTGCAAACGACACGGAGTGGGTTGGTAGGAGTTGGTGGACTGCCCAACCCGGAAACCGCGGCGTCCCATTCGATCTGAATGACGCGCCCCCCTCTGAGGCAGGCATGGATGCTGCAGATGCAGCAGCGGCAACGACGGCCTTGCATGAGTTCGCATCGGATTCCTCTATGGCGAGGTATGTTTGTCCCGCGGTTGATCGCGCCGCAGGTACCTACAGTTTTAGGGACCTGCTTTCAGAAGACAACATGGCGTTCGCGTATGCTGGGCTAAACACATAGTGCTCCTTGTACCATTGCCTTTTAACGTGTGCAAGGAAGGAGCATTGTATCATGTTCCGAATTTCTGTTTTTGTTTGTAGGCCTTTATTTACGTTCAGGTGTACTTGCATTTTTCCAGTTATAGAATTTGTTTCTCTTGAGTTTTGCATTTTCGGAGGTGTCTCCTACACACAAGGAATGTTCAACAAAGTCAAAGCTGCTGAGTCAACTTTCGGATTTCACTTTCCACGCGCGCTGACTCAGCGCGCGTGAAATTAGTCGGAACAGTTTTCTTACCCCTAACTTCACACCCCCCAGAACAGACAAATCCGCGTGCGCGATTTTTAGGGTGTGAAAATAACGCGGAACAGGTGTACATTATCCGGGAACGCGTTTTCGTAGTGTGTGTTTCGTATCAACCTTGATACTGTACTTTGACCGACAGCAGTACTGTACTGTTTCTCACTCCAACGCACAAGTCTAAGCACATGTACGTGTAAATTTCTCCACGCAATCCCTGGCATCGTTGCCGGGCAGAGGCTCCTGGAAACCCGCACATTGATCTGCTGCCTGTCTTCCCCGCTTTGGTCCATTCCTCCCAGCAAGCCATTTTCTGTCCCCGTCTTGGCGGAAGGTTTTATTCCATACCAGCTCGATCCTGCCAACCATCCCCCCCACTGTTTCTTGACAGAAGCTCCATTCCACTCCACCCTACAATTATTCGAATCGTCCTCGTGATCCGTTTGTGGTCCGTGAAACCTGATGACGAAAGTCTATCGCCTTCAGAAATTCTATTTTGAGACTTTCGTGATCCAATTCAGGACTTTTCACCAATGCATTCTCGTTCCCATATGTGTACTACTTCTGCTCCCGCTTCTCTACGACTTCTGCACAAATTGTGGGCCTTCGATTCGAAATCGGCGGCTTCAGACCTTTCAGACAGATTCAAGCTTTTGTTAGCACATTTGAGATTTTTGGATTCCAATTTTGGAAATGTCGACTGACGTGCCTATTACAGCTTACAAGTGGAAGAAATATGGACACAAAGTCCTTTCATCCCATCAAGAAGGCAAACGGTTAGTGGAGTCACGTTTGTTGTTGATTTTGTTTTTTGTTTTTTTTTTTCTTAACAACTTTTTAGTCAGCAAACTACGCGGTTATACAGAAGACTGTGGAAGTTTTCGCGCAATGCTTGGGCCCAATCCTGTGAAGAACAATAAGGGTTAAATCACCATGACTCGTATCTGCTGAACCTTTTGTGATTCACTTTCATTGAAGCGCTGTCCAAACGGCTAGATCATGTAGATTTTTTTTTTCCCCACAGAATTTCTTAGTCAACCCGCCATCTGTTCCACCTACTACTAGGTTTGGCGAACGCTCTCACCCTGTCTCGCGTTCGAGACCGCTTTGAAGTGTCCCAAAGTGCCTTCTGTTGTTCCCTGGGTCAATTTTGGAGTTCACTATTCTAGATTCAGTTAATGCCATCCATTGGTTACAATGCAATCAAGACTGTTTTTTTTTTTTTTTTTTTCCAATGCAATCGTTTTTTCGTGTCTCTGGTTTTGTGTCATGCAGATTCTACTACGCGTGTGCAGCAAAGGACACGCTGGGATGCCCAGCCAAGCTCGTTGTGGATAAGGTTCCGATCCAACGGAGCATCAGCAGCAGCACCACAGGTGCTGGCGTCAGCACCACGGGCCTCAGAGCATGGAGGGTTGAGATGCGAGCTCGGCGCCTGACCACCAAGAACAAGCACAATCACCCGCCTCCTCCCGCTGACTCCGACAGCCCATCGTCATCGTCGTCCCCCCCTCCCACTGCCACTACCAGTGCCACTGTCACTGCTGCTGCCACTGCCAATGCTGCTCCCACTGCCTCTGCCTCCGCCTTTGCCGCTGCTGCCACTGCCACCACTGCCGCTGCGAGCCAGCGTCTGCCTGTTCAGCCTGGTGAGGAGTTACCCCTCTCCGTTGCTCACACTGGAGACATTACCCCGCCTAGCAGCCGCAGCACTCAAGTCAACCCTAGTAGTAGGAAACGCCGCTTTCCTGATGCTACCACCACCACGCCCCCACCGCAAGGGTCGCTCCAATTCCCAACGCTTGGAGGATCGCCCGTCTTGAATTCGGGGGCTTTCCCTGCGGCAGCAGCCGGGGCAGGGGCAGGAGCAGGGGCAGGAGCAGGTGCAGGGGCAGGGGCAGGGGCAGGAGCATCATTATTTGTCAGAGCAGCAGGAATAGGAGCAGCAGGAGCTGCAGCGGAGGACGAAGAAACAGTGCAGGCCAAAAGGGCCCAGGCCAATTGTCTTCCGGAGCGGCACTGCCGTAGTATCTTTACCACACCTGTGCCACGAAGCCCACCTGTCGTCTCCGAACCTCCTCAAATCCCTCCCCTGGCCTCCGGAACCTTCACAGACCCTCTATCGGGCTCTCGACGGTGCCCCGACTCAGCACTAGCGTTCCAGGGTGCCGGTGCTAACGCCTTCCAGGCTCTGCCCTTGGGATTGCAACCCCCTTTGAGATTGCAGCCCCTCTCGAGTTCTCAGCTTTCCAGCGCACACAATGCGCTCTTGAATGCTCTTGCAACCGATCCTCGCATGCTCTCGCAGCTTCTTGCCTCCCACGAGGTTCATGCTGGTGTGGATTCAAGGTCCGCTCATATCGAGCTTGGCCGAATATGTTCTCATGCGTGGCCTCAGGGTGTTCCTTCAGGTGCTCCGTCAGGTGCTCCTTCAGGAATTTCTTCAGGTGGTCCTTCAGGTTTTCCTTCAGGTGCTCCCTCAAGCGTTCTTTCATGTATATCGTCAGGTATTCCTTCAGGTGTTCCTTCAGTTGCTCAATCAGGTGCTCCTCCCAGCGCTCCTTCAGTTCTTCGTTCAGGTGACTGTTCAGGTTCTGCCTCGGTCAGCCTCGCTGGTGTCCTCTCAGGTGTAGTTTCAGGTGCTTTTCAAGGTGGAACTTCAGGAGCTTCAGCCTCATTGCACCAGCTATCCAGGGGTAGATCGTCTCTCACCTGCACTGACAGAAGAACGCACTCTGATCCACAAGAGGCCCCTGGAAGGGCTCTGGTAGCGGTGAAGCAAGAGTGGAGCGAGTACAGCAGAGAGGGAGAGGGACCCGTGGCACGGCGAATAAGGTCATATTCGGGACACCCTGCCTCAGGTTTCCCAACAGATTTTCCAACAGACCTCCCAACAGACGCAAGAACTCTTGCTTCGGATCGCCGCGAATCAGACCCCATGGAAAGGCCTCTGAGAGACGAAGGGCGGCTGATGCACCTGCAGAGGGAAGAGACCAGACAAATGGAGCAGGCCCGACAGGGAGTCTACCGGGGTGAAACCACATGCGGTACTTTCAGGCAATCGCTGCCACGCGATAGCTCATCTCATAGTCATTCGGGTGAAAAACACACACGTAGAGGAAGCTCTAAGGCACATGGTGGCTTCAGTTATTTCGCTTCAGGTGAAAAGAACAATCCAGATGAAAGGAGCATACCAGGTGAAAGGAGCAGACCAGGTGAAAGGAGCAGACCAGGTGAAAGGAGCATACCAGAAGGTAATCCCGGAACTCAACAGCAGCAGCAGCAGCAGCAGCAGCAGCAGCAGCAGCAGCATCACGCCAGCTGCACCATGGATGGGAGTGCGGGCAAGTCAGCTCCCCACCTTCGCCTGTGCGACTGGGACGACCATGATGTTGTTGACCATGCAGCTCATGTTGCTGCTGCTGCTGCTGCTGCTGCTGCCACTGGTGGTGCTGCTGCTGTTTCTGCTCCTGCTCCTGCCGCCGCTGCTGCTGCTGCTGCTGCTGCTGCCACTGGTGCTGCTGCTGCTGTTCCTGCTCCTGCTCCTGCCGCTGCTGCTGCTGCTGCTGCTGCTGCTGCTGCTGCTGCTGCTGCTGCTGCTGCTGCTGCTGCTGCTGCTGCTGCTGCTGCTGCTGCTGCTGCTGCTGCTGCTGCTGCTGCTGCTGCTGCTGCTGCTGCTGCTGCTGCTGCTGCTGCTGCTGCTGCTGCTGCTGCTGCTGCTGCTGCTGCTGCTGTTCCGGCTTCTGCTGCTGCTCATGCTCCTGCTCCTGTTTCTGCTCCTGGTGCTGCTGCACCTGCTGCTACTACTACCAAGCCTGCTGGTGCTAGTGGTGATCGAGGTGATGCTGGTGGCGGTGCTGCTGCTGTTGCTGCTAATGTTGCTGGAGGGAGGAAATTGCAAACCGGAGAAGGTGCTGACGTGGCAGATTGCGCGCCACGTGGCATTCATGCAGGAGGAGCAAGCGGAAGAATAAGATTATCATCAGGCATCAAGGCCGAACCAGAGTCACTGCCTCCTCTCAGCTCCCCACGTGCTACCAGCACCACCCTTGCTAACAGCACCGCTTTTGTAAACAGTGCCACTCTTGCTGCCAGTAGCAGTTTTCTTGCAAGAATTGCCGCTTTTGCCAGCAGTGCTCTTCTTGCTGAGCTGCCTGCTGCAGGAACAGGGGCAGGAACAGCAGGAGCAGCAGCAGTAGCAGGAACCGGAGAAGTAGCAGCAGCAACAACCATAGGAAGAGGAGGAGGAGGAGGAGGAGGAGGAGGAGGAGGAGGAGGAGGAGGAGGAGGAGGAGGAGGAGGAGGAGGAGGAGGAGGAGGAGGAGGAGGAGGAGGAGGAGGAGGGGTAGCAGCAGGAGCAGCAGCGTTAGTAGCAGAACCATCCCCTCCTGACGCATCGAGGCCATCTGCAAGAATGAGAGGAAATGCAGGAGTGAGGGACCGTGGGGGTGCAGGAACAGCAGGAGTGGCAGTAGCAGGAACTGGAGAAGGAGCAGCAGCGTCAGTAGCAGAACTATCCTCGGATGAATTAAGGCCGTCTTCAAGAATGAGAGGCAGTGCAAGAATGAGAGGCAGTGCGGGAATAAGAGACAGTGCGGGGGCGAGTGGCAGTGCGGGAGTGAGGGGCAGTGCAGCAGCAAGTTTTGAGGCGCCTCAAAGCTCGGGAGTGAGTGGCAGTGCAAGGATGAGGGGCAGTGCGGGGGTGAGGGGCAGTGAGGGGGTGAGTGGCAGTGTGGGGGTGAGTGGCAGTGGGGGGGTGAGTGGCAGTGTGGGGGTGAGTGGCAGTGTGGGGGTGAGTGGCAGTGTGGGGGTGAGTGGCAGTGTGGGGGTGAGTGGCAGTGTGGGGGTGAGTGGCAGTGCAGGGGTGAGTGGAAGTGTGGCAGGGAGTGGCATTGCGAGGATGAGGGGGAGTGCAGCAGCGCATGGCGCGCCATGGCAACGCCTCCACGCTTGCTTCTCCACCTCCTCCCCTCTGCACACCCTCCTCGCTCCCCAACCTTCCGCTCCCCAACCTCCCGCTCCCCAACCTCCCGCTACCCAACCTCCCGCTCCCCAACCTCCCGCTCCCCAACCTCCCGCTCCCCAACCTCCCGCTCCCCAACCTCCCGCTCCCCAACCTCCCGCTCCCCAACCTCCCGCTCCCCAACCTCCCGCTACCCGACCTCCCGCTTCCCAACCTCCCGCTACCCAACCTCTTGCCGCTCCCCAAGCTTTCTCTCCCCAAACTCTCGCTGTTGATCCAGCCTCTGTCTCCCAAGCCAATTACCCTCCTTCCAACCAGCCTACCGCCACCCGCCCACCCGTCACCCACCCTCCCGCCAACAACTCTCCTGCCAACCACCCGCCCTCCAAACACCCTGGCACCAACCACCCGCCCACCAACCACCCGACCACCAACCGCCCACCCCCGAACCACCCTCCCGCCAACCTCCCTCCTGCCAACCATTCGCATTTTAACCACGCTCCTGCCGACCACCTTGCTCCCAACCACTCTTCTTCACTCATGAAATCGGCCCAAACCCCCGCTGTGCCCCCTTCACTATTCGCGTCCCTCTCTGCTGCTGCCATCATCGCTGCAGCTGCGGCTGCTGTTGCCGCTTCTGCTTCTGGTGGAGCCTCTCCCCTCTCAGCCCCTGGTCTTACCCTCCCTCCCCCCACTCTTCCTCCACCACCTCCCCCTCGTCCTCCTCCTTCCCTCCCAGTCATGTCACAAACCCTCTCCTCCCCTCTCCTCCCAGGTGTTAGTGCTGCTGCGTGTGCCTCTGCGAGCCTTTCCGACACCGTCTCACCACAGCACCTGCCTCCATCGTCGCGGCCACATGCCTTGCCCTTTCCACCTGCGCTTCCTGCCTCTGCTGTAGCACCACCACTAACACCTGCCGTACCCACTGCACCACTGCCAACCCCTGCCACACCCCCTGCTGCAGCACAATCCCCATTCCCACCACACCCCCTTCTGTAGCCCCGGCAGCAGCACTGCCAGGTGCCGCCCTCCCAGCGGACAGTCTGCTGAGAGCAGCCTGTGTGATGGACAGCATGAGAGCAGCCTGTGTGATGGACAGCATGAGAGCAGCCTGTGTGATGGACAGCATGAGAGCAGCCTGTGTGATGGACAGCATGAGAGCAGCCTGTGTGATGGACAGCATGAGAGCCCTGGGTTTAGGGTTTAGGGTTTGTCCGGGTCGAGCGACGAGGGGGTGTTTTCTTTCCAATCAGGGCCTGACTGTGGGCCTTGTTGGAGCTTGCAATGTGGTAGCTAACCCACGAGACTAACGTTATCGCCATGTCCTCGGTTTTGCGCACCCAACCAACAATCTACCACCGCGTCAAACATGTACATTTTGTTCTCAACCTTTTGTGCTCTAAAAAAAATATACATTATGTAGCGACCCGGGTGCAATGTAGCTTTTTCTGATGACAAGACCCCCCCCCCCCCCCCCCCCCCCCCCCCCTTTTTTTGTGTAGTTATCATAGCACCCTGGGGTGGTATGTCCGGGGTAATACGGTAATACTGCTCGATTTGCATAGAAGGGACCATTTATTAGTGTATACATACGAGCTTATACATTGTACCAGTACAACCAGTATTATACGGTATACTTGATGGTATCTGTTTGTTCTGTTTGTTGAAGGCTTCCCTTCAAGAACCAATCTGTGTGTGTCCAAAGTTCTCGCTGCCAAGAGCCTCACACGGGCTAGGTTCAGGGCAGGGAAGGGAAGGGAATGAGCAAGGAGGGTAAGTGGGAGTGTGGGGAGCAGAGGGAAAGAGAGAGGAGTGTGGGGGAGGGAGTGCAAGGAGATGGAGTGGAAGGGGTGTGTGGAGTAAGAATGTGTGGGAGGAGGGGCGTGGGTTGAGGGGTACAACAGAGGAAAGGGAGTGCGGGGAGAAGGGTCTGGGAGAAGGTGTGTGAGCACAGGAGGATGGGGTGAGGATGGGTGAGGATGGGGTGAGGATGGGGTGAGGATGGGTGAGGATGGGGTGAGGATGGGTGAGGATGGGGTGAGGATGGGGTGAGGATGGGTGAGGATGGGGTGAGGATGGGTGAGGATGGGGTGAGGATGGGGTGAGGACGTGTGGGTGTGGGAGGAGGGGTGTGAGGGGAGGGGGATCGGGAAGGAGGGGGTGGAGGAGATGGGATGCGTGGGTTGAAAGGTGTGGGATGAGGGGTGTGTATGGGGCTAGGGGTGTGTGGGGTGAGTGTAGTTGTGGGAGCCGGGGGGTAGGAGGAGAGGTGTGGGAGAAGGGGTGTGGAAGGAGAGGTGTGGGAGAAGGGGTGTGGAAGGAGAGGTGTGGGAGAAGGGGTGTGGAAGGAGAGGTGTGGGAGAAAAGGTGTGGAAGGAGGGTTGTGGGAAGAGGGGTGTGAGAGGAGGGGATGCGAGCAGTGGACTTGTAGCCTGAGATGTTCGTGAGAGGAGGTGAAAGGGAGGTCACGGAGTTAATGACTACCTACCAAGATGATGAAAGTAAGGCCTTTGAAGCCCACCACCTATCTATTTTGACAAGTCATGAAGCAGTATCTGCATGGTTCCAGAGGCAAGTGGACTTCTGATTCCCAGCTTATCAGTCCCTTGTTCACTGCAAGGCTTGCCATGTCTTAATAATGCTTACAATTCGACATGACACCCCCTAAACAAAATCACAGTTCACGCACCACCGTTCTCCACCGCACTCCATCTCACTGGATCCTACCCATCACCTTATAAGCGTGCTCCATAATGTTGTCTACAGTGAATCCGAACTTATGGAACACTTCAAGATAATGCCCGCTGGCACCGAATCGCTCAACAGAGAGGACAGACCCCTCAGGTCCCACCCACTCGCACCAGCCCTGTGAGTGAAAGGCAGGGAGCAAGTTGAGCCACAAATTAAGCATACACTACAATGGCTGGGACAAGCATAATACTATACATTAAGCAGAACCATTAATAGAAGCAGCAGCTAGAGAACCAGCCTACCTGGGAGCGAGCAGCCTCAACAGCCAGTCGTTTGGTGACACGTGGCGGCAGCACAGCGTCCCGATACTCCCTAGGCTGCTGCCTGAAGAGCTCCCAGCAGGGGAGTGACACCACCCGCACGCTGCTTGCATGTGATATGCGAGGGGGGTTGGGGGTGGGGCGGTGGGGCATGGACGGGTTGGGTTTGGGTTGGCAAGCAGGAAGTGAGTCTTTTTAAACCCCTTGGAGAAGAGCTCCCAGCAGGGGAGTGACACCACCCGCACGCTGCTTGCATGTGATATGTGAGGGGGGTTGGGGGTTGTGGGGATGAGGTTGGGGGAAGGGATGGGGTTGGGGCATGGGGCATGGGGCATGGGTTGGCGAGCAGGAGAAGTCTTAAGCGCCTCGAAAAAGCTCCCAGCATGAAGAGACACAATCAACCCGCACGTCGCTTGCACGTGATAAGCGATGGGGGGACATGAGTGGGCATGCGGCATGGGTGGGTTGGCATTAAGTTGGGGGCAAAGATCTCGTAGCACATGGAGCTCTTGGGAATTGGAAAGAAAAAAACGTTTTTGAAAGGGTGGTTGGGATGGATAAAACGAGATGAGAGTTAGATGGTTGGGTGGGGTTGGGATGAGAACACAGGCACCTGGAGAGCCTTGGTCATTCTCACCTGTTTTTGAGTCGACTCAAGAGCCTTGGTCATTCTCACCTGTACCCTTCGTGGCAAAGTTTCTCAGCAGCCTCCTGACAGAGCACCAGCTCTGATCCCGACCCAATCAGAATCAAATCCAATCCAGCACCACCTCCTCCCTCTCCCTCATCTCCCTTCTTCCCTCCATACTTCTCCCCCACTCCCTCCTCCCCTTCCCCTCCCCCACCTCCCAGCACATATCCCCCCCTCAACACCCCCTCCCTGCACGACCCCCGGAGCTGAGCTGTCAGCTTCTGACGGGACAGCAGGATCGCCGTGGGCCCCACGCTGCGCCGGATCGCCACCACGTAGGCGCCAGCTGTCTCGGTGGCGTCGCCGGGGCGGATGACGTGGAGGTTGGGGATTGCCCGGAGGGATGGGATGTGCTCCACTGGCTGTAAGGGGGGGAGGATTGGGAGTGTGAATGGATGAGAGCAGAGGGACTGAAAAAGGAGGGTTGTTATGTGTGGGTGTATGACGTGGAGGATGGGGATTGGTCGAAGGGAAGGGATATGCTCCACTGGCTCTAGGCAAAAAGAAAGGTGGGAGGAAGGGGGAGAGGGGAAGGAAAAAGGGGGGGAGGTAGGGGGAGAGGGGAAGAAAGAAAGGGGGGGGAGAAGGGGGAGGAGGAATAGAGTAGGATTTAACGCCAGCGTGATGCCGTGGCGGTTGGGGATTGCTTGGAGCAACGAGAAACTAAGCAGGAAAAAACACAGAGCCGTTTCTTAAGTAACAAGACAAATTGGGCTCACCTGGTGCGTTGGGCCGTCCTCCCCCAGCCCGATGGAATCGTGGGTAAAGACAAAGAGCACCCGGGCGGCAGAGAGGGCGGCGAGGCGCAGCGCCGGCCGCATGTAGTCAGAAAAGACAAGGAAGGTGGCGGCCACTGGGATCAGCGCGCGTGAGTGCAGGGCGAGACCGTTGCTGGGGGGGGGGGGCGGGGGGAGGGGGGAGGGGGGAGGGGGGGAGAGAGGGAGAGGAAAGAAATTTGGGGGGTGCAGGTTGTCAGGAAAGACAAGGAAGGTGGCGGCCACTGGAATGAGCGCCCGTGAGTGCAGAGCAAGGCCGTTGCTGGAGGGGGGGATGAGAGGGTTGGGGAGGGTGAGGCTGAGATTTTTCTTATGGCGCGTGAAAGCAAGGTGCAGCGTGCGGTGTGCGGCAGCCACTGGCATGAGCGCCTGTGAGTTCAGGGCGAGGCCGTTTCTGTGGGGGTGAGGGAGAGGGTCAGGAGGCTACGGGGGCGCAGGAAGGAAGAAATGGAATGGAATGATCTCATGCCCTCATCATATCCTCTGATCGTCGCCATGCCATGCCATGCCCTCATCATATCCTCTGATCGACGCCATGCCATGCCATGCCATGCCATGCCCTCATCATATCCTCTGATCGTTGCCATGCCATGCCATGCCATGCCATGCCCTCATCATATTATCTGATCGTCGCCATGCCATGCCATGCCATGCCATGCCCTCATCATATCCTCTGATCGTCGCCATGCCATGCCATGCCCTCATCATATCCTCTGATCGTCGCCATGCCATGCCCTCATCATATCCTCTGATCGTCGCCATGCCATGCCATGCCCTCATCATATCCTCTGATCGTCGCCATGCCATGCCATGCCATGCCCTCATCATATCATCTGATCGTCGCCATGCCATGCCATGCCCTCATCATATCCTCTGATCGTCGCCATGCCATGCCATGCCCTCATCATATCCTCTGATCGTCGCCATGCCATGCCATGCCCTCATCATATCATCTGATCGTCGCCATGCCATGCCATGCCCTCATCATATCATCTGATCGTCGCCATGCCATGCCATGCCATGTCCTCATCATATCATCTGATCGTCGCCATGCCATGCCATGCCCTCATCTCTCACCCATCCCAGTAGCGCACCTTATTGCAGCCATGGCATGCTCGCGCACGCCGTAGTGGAAGTTGCGCCCCCCAAAGCACTCCCGGGAGAAGACCGACAGCCCGTGGAATGCCACCTGGGGGGGGACACTCGAATGAGGGGCGCGCAGCGAGAGGGGGTGAGGGGAGGGCGGATAAGCGTGGCGTGGAAAGGGAATGATAATGAGGGGAGGGAGGGAATGAGGGGAGGGAGGGAATGAGGGGAGGGAGGCGGCTGATAATAAAGAATGTAGGCTCGTGCTGGCAGTCTCTTGCATGTTATCTCAACGCCACGTCAGCATTGCCTCACCTTATTGGAGGATGCCAGGTCAGCACTGCCGCCCAAAAGGTTCGGCAGCGAGTGCACGAGGCCATTCAGACATGCCTCTGAGTAACCGCGGGTAGCATCAGGCGGAGTTGATGGTTCGAAGTGCTGGTAGGAGGGGAAGCGATGCGAGGAGGGGGAGAGATGAGAGGAGTGGGAGAGATGAGAGGAGGGGGAGAGATGAGAGGAGGGGGAGAGATGAGAGGAGGGGGGGAGATGGGAGGAGGGGGAGAGATGAGAGGAGGGGGAGAGATGAGAGGAGGGGGAGAGATGAGAGGAGGGGGAGAGATAAGAGGGGGAGAGATGAGAGGAGGGGGAGAGATGAGAGGAGGGGGAGAGATGAGAGGAGGGGAGAGATGAGAGGAGGGGAGAGATGAGAGGAGGGGGAGAGATGAGAGGAGGGGGGGAGATGAGAGGAGGGGGGGAGATGAGAGGAGGGGGAGAGATGAGAGGAGGGGGAGAGATGAGGGGAGGGGGAGAGATGAGAGGAGGGGGAGAGAGAGATGGGAGGAGGGGGAGAGATGAGAGGAGGGGGAGAGATGAGAGGAGGGGGAGAGATGAGAGGAGGGGGGGGGATGAGAGGAGGGGGAGAGATGGGAGGAGGGGGAGAGATGAGAGGAGGGGGAGAGATGGGAGGAGGGGGAGAGATGAGAGGAGGGGGGGGGGATGAGAGGAGGGGGAGAGATGGGAGGAGGGGGAGAGATGAGAGGAGGGGGGGGGGATGAGAGGAGGGGGAGAGATGGGAGGAGGGGGAGAGATGAGAGGAGGGGGAGAGATGAGAGGAGGGGGGGAGATGGGAGGAGGGGGAGAGATGAGAGGAGGGGAGAGATGAGAGGAGGGGGAGAGATGAGAGGAGGGGGAGAGATAAGAGGGGGAGAGATGAGAGGAGGGGGAGAGATGAGAGGAGGGGGAGAGATGAGAGGAGGGGGAGAGATGAGAGGAGGGGGAGAGATGAGAGGAGGGGGAGAGATGAGAGGAGGGGGAGAGATGAGAGGAGGGGGGGAGATGAGAGGAGGGGGGGAGATGAGAGGAGGGGGAGAGATGGGAGGAGGGGGAGAGATGAGAGGAGGGGGAGAGATGGGAGGAGGGGGAGAGATGAGAGGAGGGGGGGGGGATGAGAGGAGGGGGAGAGATGGGAGGAGGGGGAGAGATGAGAGGAGGGGGGGGGGATGAGAGGAGGGGGAGAGATGGGAGGAGGGGGAGAGATGAGAGGAGGGGGAGAGATGGGAGGAGGGGGAGAGATGAGAGGAGGGGGAGAGATGAGAGGAGGGGGAGAGATGGGAGGAGGGGGAGAGATGAGAGGAGGGGGAGAGATGAGAGGAGGGGAAGAGATGAGAGGAGGGGGAGAGGTGGGGGATTGGGGCGGGGAAAAGGGGGAATGAGTGGAGGTATCCATCTAGTGAGGTGGGTTGAGGCATCCATCTAGTGAGGTGGGTTGAGGCATCCATCTAGTGAGGCGGGTTGAGGCACGCCCAAGAGTAGCCTCTCATTGCGTGAGGTCAGACAGGTGGGTTCGTCGGGGAGGAGTGCCGGAAGGGTATCGGGGGGAGGGGTTGGGGGGGAATTGGGAGGGATGCAAAGGGAAGGGGGAGGTGGAGGCAAGGGCTAGGTGCATTCAAGAGTTCCCTCCCTCTCACCCACCCCTCCCGTCCTGTCCCCCCTTCTCCTCCCTTTCCCCTCCCTGAGTCCTCTCGGCACCCACCCTCCACCCTCTCTCACCGGCAATGAGTCCTCCCAGCCAGCTGGCAGCCGCCCAGGCACCGTGAGTGCGTCCAAAAGCACCGCCCGGTCCGGGTGGCGCTGCCGGTACTGTGCCGCTTGATCCCTCCAGCTGGCAGCTTCTAATTGGCCCCGCGCAGCCGCGCTATGCATGACCCTGATTGGCAGATGGAAGCGCAGGCATCAGGAGGGAGAGAGGTAGGAGGGGAGAGGGAGGGTTTGGAGGTATGAACAGAGGCGGTGACAGAGGGTGGGTGGGGAGGGGGAGGGTCATTGAGCTTGTATTTATGTATGATGGGTTTCTTTGACACAAACTAGAAGGCAGGTGTGACTGGAAAGCAGTGCAATAGATGGATACAAAAAGAGCTACTGTGCATGGCAGGAGCAGAGAAAATCAAGATATAACCGGACTCAACAACCTCACAGCAACGGCCATGGACCTCCCCTCCCCCCTCACCGGTAAACCTCCTCTGGAACAGTGAACGGGTCGCTGTAGTGCCATTTGAGCGTCTTCCGAATAGCTTCAGTCTCCTCGGGCCCAAACGCCCCATGGTGGGCCGCGCTGGTGCCCTGCTTCTTAGGCGAACCGAACCCAATCACCGTGTCCACTTGAATGAGGGATGGCCGGTGGGCTTCGTTCTTGGCGGCTTGAATGGTGGCTCGCAGGTTATCCAGGTCAGCCGCATCACGTAGTGTGATTCGCTGCACGTGCCACCTCAGCGCGGCAAAGCGGCCCAGGGCGTCCTCTGAGAAGGCAAGGTCCGTGCTGCCGTCTATGGTGACCTGTTTGGGGTGGGGCGGGAAGGGCAAGGAAGGGGATGAGGAAGGGAAGGGGGAAGTAAGAAGTCTCAAGAGGTGGCAATGTCCGTGCTGCCGTCTATGGTGACCTGGGGGGAGGGAGGGGGGAGGAGGAGTGGGAAGTCGGGGGAAAGGGAAAGGTGGGGGGAAGGGGAAAGTGGGATTCGCTGCACGTGACGCGCAACGAAGCGGCCCAGGACGTCCTCTGAGAAGGCGAGGTCTGTCTTGCCGTCTATGGTGACCTGGGGGGGAGGGGGAGGGGAGGGAAGGGAGGAGAGGTGAAGGTAAGGGGGGGAAGAGGGAATGTGAGACGCCTCAAAGAGCGACCCATGACTTCCTCAGTGAAGGCGAGGGCAGTGCTGCCATCTCTGGTGACCTGGGGGGGGGGGGGGGGTGTGTAGGGGTTGAGGAGGGGAAGGGGGGAGTAAGAAGTCTCGAGCGATCGAGGACGTGTCAGTAACGAAACAGGTGGGGTGCGGAGGCCTAAGCGAAAACTAATACGGTATATATATATATATATACATATATATAATTAAGAGCTATCAGCATCAAGAGCTGCAATAGCAGCTGTTGCAGCGTCAGTAGCAAACGGAGCAGCAGCTTCAACGGCCACACGAAGATCAGGGCAGCACGTTTAGCAAGCTGCTAAAACGTGCTGCCACTACTCCTCGTGTGGCCGTTAAAGCTGCTGCTGCTGCTGCTTCGCTTTGCTGCTGACGCTGCAGCAGCTGCTATTGCAGCTGTTGGTGGTGGTAGCTCTTAATATTATTCTGTATAGAGGATTCTGCTGGGGAAGAGTGGAGTACGAAGTCTCAAGAGCAATCGAGGACGTTTTCGGAAGGCAAGTGATGTGCTACCTGAATATGGTGACCTGTGGTGGGTGGGTAAGGTTGGGAGGGGGCGAGAAGAAGGGACAGCTCCAGAGAGCAGGGAAAGGTGAGACATATAGGGGAGGAGGGGAGTTAGATGCAGGAGGTACCGCCCGCACAACCAGTTTCCGCCCACACAGCAGCTGTATCCAGCACCTGGTTGGAAAACAGAAGGTGACAAGCTTGCCCAGCCCCCAGTGGCCTGTTAGTGATGCTGCTATTCCCTACTGACCCATGTGACCCCACATCCTTTCACGTTGGGTTTCAGCCCAAGTGCAGCTGTCGCACCTGGTTGGAGTCGTAAAAGGCGATGAGCTTGCCCAGCCCCCAGTGGCCCGCCAGGGACGCTGCCTCATTCACCACGCCCTCCATGGCACAGCCGTCGCCAAATACAACGAACCTGGACGGCAGGCGCACGGGCAACACGCAGGGGAGGAGGCAAGGCGAGGATTCGAGACTGTAGCGAGAAGCACATACGATACGACAAGCATTAGGACGACTCAGGGCTTGTGGTTGGGATCACATCACATGACATGACATGACTTTTGAGAATTCTCAAAAGTGACAGGGACATCGATGCCAGAACTACCCCATCAGGTGAGACCTGCTACACTACCCCGTCAGGTGAGACCTGCTACACTACCCCACTCACTCCATATAGACTCGGCCGGAGGTCTAGACAATATAGTTGTGGGCAGGAGGGCATGAGGTGAAGTCAACGAAGTCAATGCTGTCAACGAGGTCAACCGTTCCCCACTCGAACCTTGGCACTGTGTGCGGTGGTCAACGAGGTCAATGGGGTCAACGAGTGAGGCTCCAGTGACACGTAGTCAACGGTTTTGGGACGAGCAGCCAAGCAAGACCTGTGAGTCTGACACACAAAACCACTGATATGGACCGGCACGGCACGCACGTGTGGTGGTCAATCAGGTCAGGGGAGTCAACAGTGTTGAGGCGAGCAGCCAGGTGCGATGCGATGTATAAATCTGACTCGTAAAACTGCTCATGTGGATTGTTGCTCACGTGTGGTGGTCAATGAGGTCAGGGAAGTCAACAGTGTTGAGGCGAGCAGCCAGGTGCGCCTCTGCTGCCGCCACCCCCACCGCATTCGCAAAGCCCTGCCCCAGGGGACCTGCAAGGGAACGAGCACAGGAGTAACGGACATGGAGGCAAAAGGAAGGCTTGAGACGTCTGACAGCTGGAACCAGGAAGGAAGTCGAGTTTTGAGTCGACTCAGAACTCAGAACCAGGAAGGAAGGAAGAGAGTTGACACGGAGGAAGACGAGGCGGAGGAGAGACAAGCGGGATTCGCAAACAGCATTGACGCAAACAGCATTGACGCAAACAGCATTGACGCAAACAGCATTGACGCAAACAGCATTGACGCAAACAGCATTGACGCAAACAGCATTGACGCAAACAGCATTGACGCAAACAGCATTGACGCAAACAGCATTGACGCAAACAGCATTGACGCAAACAGCATTGACGCAAACAGCATTGACGCAAACAGCATTGACGCAAACAGCATTGACGCAAACAGCATTGACGCAAACAGCATTGACGCAAACAGCATTGACGCAAACAGCATTGACGCAAACAGCATTGACGCAAACAGCATTGACGCAAACAGCATTGACGCAAACAGCATTGACGCAAACAGCATTGACGCAAACAGCATTGACGCAAACAGCATTGACGCAAACAGCATTGACGCAAACAGCATTGACGCAAACAGCATTGACGCAAACAGCATTGACGCAAACAGCATTGACGCAAACAGCATTGACGCAAACAGCATTGACGCAAACAGCATTGACGCAAACAGCATTGACGCAAACAGCATTGACGCAAACAGCATTGACGCAAACAGCATTGACGCAAACAGCATTGACGTAAACAGCATTGACGCAAACAGCATTGACGCAAACAGCATTGACGCAAACAGCATTGACGCAAACAGCATTGACGCAAACAGCATTGACGCAAACAGCATTGACGCAAACAGCATTGACGCAAACAGCATTGATGCAAACAGCATTGATGCAAACAGCATTGATGCAAACAGCATTGATGCAAACAGCATTGATGCAAACAGCATTGATGCAAACAGCATTGATGCAAACAGCATTGATGCAAACAGCATTGATGCAAACAGCATTGACGCAAACAGCATTGATGCAAACAGCATTGATGCAAACAGCATTGATGCAAACAGCATTGATGCAAACAGCATTGATGCAAACAGCATTGATGCAAACAGCATTGATGCAAACAGCATTGATGCAAACAGCATTGATGCAAACAGCATTGATGCAAACAGCTACACCACAAGATTCGCCTGTGGCGGCGGCCCCCCCCCACCCCACCACCCCAACCAACCCCACCTGTGGTGACCTCTATCCCTGGTGTGAGTGTGTTCTCCGGGTGCCCTGGCGTCTTGCTCCCCAGCTTCGCCAGCCGCTTCAGGTCCTCCATCTGCCACCGGGGGATTTTGGGGGGAAGGGGTTGGCAGGGATACAAAGAGGTTGGCAGGGATACAAAGAGGTTGGCAGGGATACAAAGAGGTTGGCAGGGATACAAAGAGGTTGGCAAGGAACATCACACCGATTGGGTACTGCAGCAGCTTGCCCAGCACACATGCGACTGACCTGGAGATTATATCCAGTCATGCAGCAAGCAGTACTGCCGCAGACTCACGTGGCCGTCGCTCAAAATGAAGGGATTACGACTGGATACAGCAGCAGCAGCTTGCCCACGCCACCACACTCCCAGCACACGCCCAACTCACCTGGAGATTATACCGAGTGAGGTGCAGCAGGCAGTACTGCAGCAGACACACGTGGCCGTTGCTCCACAGTTGATGATGCACACACAACACACGCCCAACACAGCCTAACACACCTGGAGATCGTATCCCGTTAGATGAAGCAGGCAGTACTGCAGCAGACACACGTGGCCGTTGCTCAGGATGAAGCGGTCGCGATTGGGCCACGCGGGATCGGCGGGGTCGAAGCGCATCTCCTCGGCGAATAGCAGCGCGCCAAGTGGCGCCAACCCCATGGCGGACCCGGGGTGCCCCGCGTTGACGTTGTTGACTGCATCGACCACCAGCATGCGGATGGTATTGATACACGTGGCAGCCACGGATTCGTCCGCCAGCTGCCAGGAAGGAGGGGCGGGGAGGAGAGGGGGAGAGCGGGGGAGAGAGGGGGAGAGCGGGGGAGAGGGGGAGAGCGGGGGAGAGAGGGGAAGAGAGGGGGGAGCGGGCAAGAGAGGGGGAGAGCGAGAAGAGAGGGGGAGGAAGGGGGAGAGAGGGGTGGGACGACGTGAAGAGGGGAGGCGGAGAGGTGACAAAGACGGACATGGGAAAAGACTGACAGAAAACGTTGAAAAAAAGGATGGACAAGGGAGAGGAGAGAAGGACAGACAGGAGAGTTGAGACCACCTCGCTGCCAGCTAAAAAAGGGCCGATTAGACCATGAGAGGGATGCAGCTGAAAACGTTGCCATGGCTGAGGTTGACTCCTTTGACTCCCTTGACTCATGACTCCCTTGACCTTGACTCTTGACTCCCTTGACCCCCTTCACTCCCTTCACTCTCTAACACTCACGGGCGATTTTTCCTGTTGAGCAGTCTCCCCCCCATCTGCCACGTCACCTCTCTCCTCTTCCCCTTCTGCTCGCCTCCCCAAGCATCTCGCCGTAAAATCAACGCCGCCCCTCACGCGACCAACCCTCGCCGTCCGATCAGAGCCATGTCCAATCACGTCAACGCCGTGCTGTCGCGAGCATAGCCCGCTTATCCCCCTCAGCCGTGGCGGCTGTGCGAATTTTCGCCAGCTCGGCGACACCACCAGGCGACCCTTTGGCGGGAAAGCGGCGGCTGCGGCGGGGGCGGCCGCTAAGGGTGGGGAGGCGTGACAAGAGGGGGTCTGGAGCACGAAGGATGCCATTGATCGCGTTTCCGGCTCGCCGCGTTCAGCTCGCGCCTACTAACGCCTTCGCTTATTTCCTGATGACGCGGCTCCAGTGCTCACTCGTCACGCCTACGAAACGGATGATCCAACCAATCTGCCAGCTGCTATGACAGCGGGCTGCACGGCCCTTTGCGGTGTTCCGAGTCAGTGAGATGATATGGCAACGCCGCCCTAGTAACGTCCCCGCACGTCCCTGCAACGTCCCCCCCCACCAATCCCACAATGTCCCCCAGCGTCCTCCGAACGGTTTCCCGAAGTCGAAAATTCGGCCCCTCCCCTCACCAGTGTGGCGAGGAGGGGAGGAATTTCCAAGAGACATGGGGCGTTACGGCGGGAAGGGAGAAGAGCGGCGGTCTGCGGGGAGCATCCACGGACCGGGAAGGCTCCTTCTCTGCGCTAATTGTGTAGAGAAATTCGGGAAGGACGAGTGGGGGGGAAATGGCCGCGGACGATGGGGGGAGTGGTGGCGGTTGGGAGGGCGAAGACGGGCCGATGGGCGGGTCGATGCGAAGACATGAGTTCCTACGGGCCCAAACCCACCAGGTCCCTGTCCTGGTGGGTTTCGAATCCACCAGGACGCGGAGCCGGCGGAAGCTTTCTGCCCGGGGCAAAAAAAACTATTCCCCATCGCGACCGGCATGCCGTTCGGGAGCCTCTGATTCATGACGGGTCGATCCCGCGCCTCGGCTACTAACGCAGAGGCGCAGTGCGGGAGTGGTGAGCTGTCACGCGGGACTAGGAGGAGAATCCGCGACGCATGCATGGCGGGCTGCGAGGGACGCGTCGGGTAATTAGCGCCAAGCTGAGGGTGCGAGCCTGACATGCGCATGTCGTGCTCCCACATTGAACCCAACAATTAATATCACAGCTGGCTACAACCAAATCCATATGACTTGGCAATTGTCTTCAAAGTGAGAGCTGCGAGCTGGTGTGTATTATTATTTATAAACATGTTGCTTGTTTTAACAAGCCGGTGTAGCTCAGTGGTAGAGCATCTGTCTTGTAAACAGAAGGTCCAGAGTTCAATCCTCTGCGTCGGCACGCTTTTTTCTCAGCGTCTTTCGCAATACGCACTCATTCTTCCTTATTCACCCTTTCACAACGGCATTCCAATCGAATCGTCTTCCTCTTTTTCCGCTTTTCTTTTGCCGCCGCGTTCCTCGCCGCGCGTATCGCGATGGGCCTCTTCGGCGACTTGCCTCCGCCGTCGAATGCTCCCAAGCCACCGACTCGCGCGAACCCTCCGTCGTCAACGTCAACTCCGTCTAGCAAACCGTCAACTCCTGCTGAACGGCCCGCGGCCGTTGCGCCAAAACCGTCTGCACTCAAGTCGTCACTCAAAGGGCGGGCGGACGCCAGGGGGGAAGAGGGGACGGGGAATGTCAGCGCGGGGGACGCGGGTGGGGGGTCGGGGGAAGGCGGAAAGACCAGGAAGCGCGTGGGGATGGCTGGGGCGGACGAGGCAGATGGCGACGGTATGGACGCTGCAGACTTCGTTGACTGGTGTTGACTTTGTGTGACCTGGTTTGCTGACTCTGCACTAGATTAGGGTTGCATGTCGCCGCTGCTATCTGACCGGTTTTTGGCTCCCACTTTTCCTCTACCACTCAACCCCGGTTCCCTAACCCTAATTGTCCTTATTCCTGTTCTGGTTACCGTAAGCGGAATCTCGTAATTTCTGCTTCCCTAGCCCAACTTCCTCATTCCCCTCTTACACCGCCCAGATATCTAATATCCCATCAAGGCTAAAACCTCCTCCCGACACCCCCCCCTCTTTTTCCCCCTTCTCCCCCTTCCTCCCCTTTACCCCCCCTCCCTCCCCCCCCCCCCCCCCCCCCCCCCCCCCCCCCCACCCTCCTCCCGTTTCCAGCCCCCCCGCGCCGGCGGGTGCGCTTCAACACGTTTGCTGAGGTGGCAGAGGACAAGGTGACGTCAGCAATCGCCAAGATCGCCGCCCACATCGGCACGCCGACCAAGTTCAAGAAGGCGGCCGGCCTCGCTCGGCAGCTTCTGGAGGGCGGCGCACTGAACAGTGGAATGAACAGTGCAGCAAACAGTGCAGTGGAGAGCGGTGGTCATGCGGGTCGTTTCTTTGCAGTGCTGGAGGCGGCAATGGGGCTGCTGCGGAGGGAAGGCGGAGGGGGGGCGGGAGGCATGGTGGTGGGGGTTGCGGGGGACGTTGGGGGCGAGTATGCTGCGCTGATCGGCGCTGCTGTGGAGAGAACAGAGGTGCGTGAAGCGGGAGCAAGGGGGGAAGAAGGGGGGAGGGGATGGGGGTGGTGACATTGAAGGCAAAGAGTGGGGCAAGGGCATATGGGGCAGTGGGGGGCGCTGGGCAAGGGCATATGGGGCAGTGGGGGGCGCTGGGCAAGGGCATATGGGGCAGTGGGGGGCGCTGGGCAAGGGCATATGGGGCAGTGGGGGCGCTGGGCAAGGGCATATGGGGCAGTGGGGGGCGCTGGGCAAGGGCATATGGGGCAGTGGGGGGCGCTGGGCAAGGGCATATGGGGCAGTGGGGGGCGCTGGGCAAGGGCATATGGGGCAGTGGGGGGCGCTGGGCAAGGGCATATGGGGCAGTGGGGGGCGCTGGGCAAGGGCATATGGGGCAGTGGGGGGCGCTGGGCAAGGGCATATGGGGCAGTGGGGGGCGCTGGGCAAGGGCATATGGGGCAGTGGGGGGCGCTGGGCAAGGGCATATGGGGCAGTGGGGGGCGCTGGGCAAGGGCATATGGGGCAGTGGGGGGCGCTGGGCAAGGGCATATGGGGCAGTGGGGGGCGCTGGGCAAGGGCATATGGGGCAGTGGGGGGCGCTGGGCAAGGGCATATGGGGCAGTGGGGGGCGCTGGGCAAGGGCATATGGGGCAGTGGGGGGCGCTGGGCAAGGGCATATGGGGCAGTGGGGGGCGCTGGGCAAGGGCATATGGGGCAGTGGGGGGCGCTGGGCAAGGGCATATGGGGCAGTGGGGGCGCTGGGCAAGGGCATATGGGGCAGTGGGGGGCGCTGGGCAAGGGCATATGGGGCAGTGGGGGGCGCTGGGCAAGGGCATATGGGGCAGTGGGGGGCGCTGGGCAAGGGCATATGGGGCAGTGGGGGGCGCTGGGCAAGGGCATATGGGGCAGTGGGGGGCGCTGGGCAAGGGCATATGGGGCAGTGGGGGGCGCTGGGATTCATTATCCTTGGCGCTGCTGTGGAGAGAACAGAGGTGCGTGGGATGGGCTAAGAGGTGGGCAGGGGAAAGCGGTGGGCAGGGGAAAGCGATGGGCAGGGGAAAGCGGCGAAAGGACAAGGTTGTTGTGTTGTGTGCTCATAGTGGCCTGGGTAAAGGGCCGAGACAAGAGATTGCCCACCACATCAAGACTCATTTTGCCAAACCCCAACCCTCAATCGCCCCCATCCCCCCACCCTTTCCTCGCCTCAACCCCCTCCTCCCCGCTCCCCCCCATCCGCCCTCCCGTGCTCTCCCCCTTCCCCACGCCCCCCTGCCCCACCCGTGTACAGTTGTTTTTGCCATGGCAGCAGCAGCAGGTGGACGTGTGGGGGCTGCGCACTGTGCTCACCCACTCGCTGCGCACCGATGACAGCTTCCAGGTGGAGGGTTGGGTGAAGGGTGGGGGCAGTGGACTGGGGCAGTGGATTGGGGCAGGGACTGGGGCAGTGGACTGGGGCACGCGAGCAGGTGTGGGGGCTGCGCACCGCGCTCAACCACTCGCTGCGCACCGATGACAGCTTCCAGGTGGGGGGGTGTGGGCGGGTGCTGAGGGGCAACAGGTGGGGGGGCAGTGGGCATGAAGGCAGGTGGACGTGTGCAGGCAGGGCGCTCTGTGCACAACCACTCGCTGCGTACCGATGACAGCTTTCAAGTGGGGGGAAATAGGGGGGTTTGGTGGTAGGGGTATTGGTTGGGTTGGAGGGAGGTGGGGGGGTAGTGAGCACGAAGGCAGGTGGACGTGTGGGGGCTGCGCACTGTGCTCACCCACTCTCTGCGCACCGATGACAGCTTTTATTTGGGGAGGGGTGGGGGGGCAGGTGGGAAGAGATGGTGGGGGAATCGAGTGCAACAGGAGGTGGAGAGACAGCCAGAGGCAGCAGAGGAGGATGAGAGGGAGAGAAGTCTTGGCTGTTTCTGCTGCATGTGTGCCCTTGTGTGCCCTTCTCCTATTCTTCCTTTGACCTTCCTTCCTCCCTTTGTCCTCACTATCGCTTCCCCCGAAGCAGTTCTTTAAGGCCGTGTCTCGAGTGCAGCAGGAGGTGGGGCGATTGCCAGAGGCACTCAAAGCTCCCGTGCTCCCCTTTCTCGCTTCCTCCCTCACCCCCCCCCTCCGCCTCCTCTTAACCTCCCCTCTCCCTCCCAGTTTTCCAAGGCCGTGTCTCGAGTGCAGCAGGAGGTGGAGCGATTGCCAGAAGCAGCAGAGGAGGATGAGCGGTACGAGGCGGGGATGTTTGCAGGGGTGGCGATGCAGGTGCAGGGCAGAGATGGGGGTGTGGACGGGGATGGAGAGGGAGAGAAGGGGGGAAGGAAGGGGGAAGAGAAAGGGGTAGAGAAGGGGGGAGCGAAGGAGGATGAGATTGCGGAAAGCGGGGGAAGAAAGCCTCAAGAGAGGAGGGATGGGGGAGAAGATGGTGGGGAAGAGAGACGGGAAGACAAGAAGGAAAAAGGAGGCGATGATGCAAATGCTGCAGATTCTGGCGCAGACCCCTTTGGGCTTGATGCTATGTTGGGTCTCAGTGGGGAGAATGTAGGCGGGACAGCAGATGGTGGGCAGGTGGGAGAGGAGGAGGAGGAGGAGGAGGAAGAGGAGGAGGAAGAGGAGGACGATCCGTTTGGGTTGGGCGAGATGATAAAAAGCAAGCAGGCTATGAGGGAGCAGAAGAGGAGGGAGGAGCGGGAGAGGAGGAGGAGGGAAGAGGAGGAGGCACGGCGGAGGGAGGAGGAGGAGGAGAGGCGGATGTTGAGAGAGAGGAGGGAGGCGTTGCTGCTGTGCATTCAGACAGCCACTGAGATGTATCGGCACAAGTGGTGAGTGAGGTTTTAGGCAGTGAAAGTTCGGAGGCTCCTCATTTGCTACAATCCGTTTATCCCTGTGCTTCGTTCCCCTACATCACACCCCAGCGCCCAGACGGCCATAGACATGCTGGCTCAGCACGCGTGCCTTCCGCCATGTGAAGCAGCAGCCATGTGCTGCTGCTGCTGGCTCAGCCATGTGCTGCTGCTGCTGGCTCAGCCATGTGATTAGGTGAGCAGCAGTCTAGAAGAAACATATAGCAAAAAATGAACAGTACGATCTGTTCCCCACATCACACCCCAGCGCCCAGACAGGCATAGAGATGCTGGCTCAGCAAGTGAGCTGACCACGCACTGCCTTCCGGCCTTCATGCTCCTTGCTTCCTGTGCTTCCCTTCTGTTTCATTCCCCGCTTCCCTCCTCCCCCACCCCCTTCCCCAGGGTCCAGACGGCCATATACATGGTATCGCAGCATGCCTACAACCACAGGCGGTGTGTTGAAGGGACCACAAGCACCCCTTCACTGCTATTCAGCGTATGTTTTCTGAGATTTCTCAAAAAACATACAAGCACCCCTTCACTGCTATTCATTTATCCTGCTTTCACTTTCTGCCTGTGCCACCTTTGTCCCCACCCTCCAGGGCGCAGACAGCCATTGACATGCTGGCGCAGCACGCATACGACCACCGGCGGCGATTCACCGGGCGGCAGCGGGCGGCAATCGAGGCGCTGTGGACGAGTGTGAGGCAGCAGCAGCACGAGCGCAAGCACGGGGCGCGCAGGGGCGGCACTGGCCGGCTGGATGTGACTGCTTTCGAGCGGCTGCAGCGGCATTATGAGGGCGAGGCGATTAGTATCAGGAAGGGAGTTGGGGGCGGTGGCGGTAGGAGCACAGTGACTTGGCTGGGGTGAGGAGTGAACTTTTGAAGCGCCTCAATAGTTGCATTCGAGCGCCAGGAGCAGCATTATGAGGGCGTGGGGATTACTGTCAGGAGAGCGGTGGGGTGTGGTGGGGGTCGGAGCACAGTCACATGGCTGGGGTGAGGTGTGAGTTGTTGTTATCAGGAGAAGAGACGAGCTCACGGGTTGTCTCTGCCACAAAGTATGCTGGCGGTACTGGTGCATTGAGTGCGCATAAATAACATTGGAGTAGTGTACCTCAACTTGAATGGTTTTAGTGAGTGCAGCACTGCACTCATGGCTTTTGTGGGGTTTAGAGGTCACCCATTGCAAGGTACTCCAATACCTTTCTATCGGGTACTCGAACACCTTTCTATCGGGTTCTCGAATACCTTTCTATCGGGTTTTCGAATACCTTTCTATCGGGTACTCGGATACCTTTCTATCGGGTTCTCGAATACCTTTCTATCGGGTTCTCGAATACCATTCTATCAGGTTCTCGAATACCTTTCTATCGGGTTTCCGAGTACCTTTCTATCGGGTACTCGGATACCTTTCTATCGGGTTCTCGAATACCTTGCTATCGGGTTCTCAACCCCAGTACGACACCCCGGTAGCATACCCCGGCACGACACCCCAGCGGTTGCGTGTGACAAAAGCGGTTTCCTCGCGTTTCGTTTCAAGACACAACCGACACGACGGGCGTGTCGATTCGAGTTGCAGGGGAAGACGAGTTGAAGCTTTGACAAGACCAACCAACTCGACGGGGAGACGTCTGGAAACGCCATCCAATTGGTCCATTGTCGCACATGTGCAAGGTGTTGCAAATTGCAAACATGTTCCGCAACTGGTCAAACAATCCCACTTCGCAACCCTCGCAAATGGCAAATCTGTCCCACGATTGGTCAAACGACCCAAATTCGCAACAGGTCGCAAACGGCAAATGTGTACCGACTACCGGCCGAACTGCAGTTTGACCGGCACGGAAGCCGTCAGTTCCAGTTTTGTGCGAGCACTGTACAGTGTAATGTGTAAAACGGATAAAGAGATGACGACCGGCGACATAAATGCTGCACTGCACTGGTGCTCAACGAGTCGCAGATGGCTGAGCGGTACCAGACAAACCCGCAATTTGACCGGTACGGCAGCCGTCAGAATAAGCTTCTGCGATCGTCAAGATGACGCTCGACGACAACACGACTGAGGGGGTGTTGCCTGCCGCAAGGTGTTGCGAACCTTGCAACGTACAAACAGTCCAAGTACACTCAATTCTTGTTTGAAGAACACTAAGTATCCGGGTGGGGAGTGAGTGTAACGAGTTTTTACAGTTTCGCTGAGGACGTGGCACATGTTTTCATTTCGCTAGGATCGGGACCTCACATCGATCGGCACACCGATGTGCCCACACTGCAAATTTCCAGTGGGGTAGACGCATCGAGCTATAGGTGTCATGATCGAAATTGCAGGGTCGGGCAGGTTGGAGCTGCGTCGGAATACACCAACACACTGCAACACGCAGCCAATCAGGGCAGAGCGTGGTTGGTCGCCCAGCAATTTCATTCGCAAGGACTCGAGAATTTTCGGCCTGCGACCGTGGGCGATGCAGATCGATCGCGGCTGTCACCTGTGACGCGATGTGCTCTCCCGCCGACCCAAACGCACGATCGATGTGTGCACCACGGCACATCGATCGTGCGAGCTGCAGGTGCCACCATTTTGGGTACCAGTTTAGTGTACCTTTTCAACGTCTTGCGAAATACGGATACCAGGCATTGACGACGTCGCCAATTCACTGTACAAGCGGCACATCGATCCCCTCCCACGATCGATCCTGGCAAATGCCAAACAGGTGCCGCGTCTTGAGTTCGCCTTTGTCACCACGGGCAGAAAAGTGGTTGTAAATGAAAATGGAATGTCAATGTTTAAGTTTCGTAACCACGTAAACATTTCCGATGATGTTCGCGCCGACGTATGCGATGGGCAACGCTTGTTTTTCATGAACTGTAGGTTTTGGGTTCCCCAATTTGGTGACTATACCCCGAATTTCGCACAATGCTCAACTCTGTCATACTACTGCGTTAGGGTTTCACGGAATTTGTAGGTTCTTGGGTGGTAGATTCTGTCGCGTTTTGCATAGTATGATTACCCGTGTCAGTTGGTGCGATTTGCCTTCAATAATTACGCTTATCTGTTGGCCTCAGCAACTTGAACGTTTCCGGACAAGCTGCCCTCATATGGGATTGTGGGTGTTTTTCCCGCGCTACTCACGGTTGTCAGATCAACCACGAATAACACAGCAGCAACACTTCACGAGCATTCACCACGGTTTAGGACGCATGCATTAACCGTTCATAGTGGTTTTGATCCTTCCTTACCAAGGATCAACTACCTCTGATCGAGTTTCTATACACAAGCTCTTTGACAGATTCTTCCCGCGCTAGGGATTAGGCACGTCGTTCTGTACCAATGCATTTGAACAAGGCGACGAGAAGAAACAGAGGTGGCATAGACTGCGGGAAGGACCAAATTGCCATATCGAAACCACTACCTTCACGACACCGCCGTATTTACTGTGCAGACATACACCACGACAAAATCATATCATGCGGGAAGTTAAAGAGCACTAGCCACACCATTCTCGAGAAAGTTACGTACCTGTGTTGCCACACCCACTCCCAACCGCTAAATTTCAAACCATACCGCGCAAGCTATTGTAGGGTCAATCGGATTTTTGGAATTCGAAATAGTGCTGACGTGATGCACGAGTGGTCGACAGGATTGACACAAATCCAAAAACCGTCGAGTCGCGTGATTTTTCTGGCAAAAACGTTCGCGAGTGACTACACCCTGTTTCTCACTACACTGAGCTGTGCTGAACTGATGGAAAACCTAGTTACCTTCGATTTGTCTGATTGAACCATACCTAGACTTAATCTAACCACCGTTAACCGTGCTTTTCCCATCTTGACTTCACTATAACCGAAATCACAATGGCGAGAAAGAGGGTGTAGTTTTCTGATTGTGATGAGCAAATGTTTTGTGATAGGCTGAGCATCGACTGTAGCTGGCCTGATGGAGATATTCGCGAAAACTTTCAAGCCTTTTCCCGCGTGCAGCAAACAAGGAGCCAAACTAGCTTGAGCTGTTTGCGACGCGGTGCGGCCCATTGACAAATTGGCTTCGTGCCTCTATTAAGGATGACGACAAACGTCGTGACTTGACGCCACCTGTTGCCCACGCCGAAAGTCCGATTTCCTCAAGGGAGGGAAAAAACATCGGGGCGCAGCTTCGTTGTCAGCGTCCTCGTGCCCTGCCCCTGTCAGCAAGAGTTTCCCTTTCCCAACATCAGTGGGATATCCAGCCGATAAAGCACCATTGATCTCTCTCAATCAAGTCGTGAGCTGAACTCAAGCATTCCCATTTATAGCCAATTTCCTTGGATTCGAATTCCGTAGCTGTCTCCGTCGCTTTTCGTTTCTACTGCTGCACCTAGACTCCCCTTACCTCGCAAGGATGGCGCAAGCCAAGGCCGACCCCATCCCGCCGTGCGTCGTCGTTTTGCTTCCAGACGGCTCGGCGCGCCTCTACGACGACGCTCGTCTCACGGCGTCGACCGTGCTCGCCGACTTTCCCCGCCATGTGCTCCTTTCCACCCTCAGCACCGCCACGCCGCGCACCCCCTTGCCACCCGCCGCACTGCTCAAGCCCGGACGAACATACTACCTCCTCGCCGAGACGCACCGTCCGCGAGCGACGACGAAAGTGGCGGTTGATATCTCGTCGCTAACATCGCCGTCGTCGTCGCAAAACTCGCCGAACTTGTTTCGCAAGTCGCAAACCCTGCATGCGTCCCCTCTTTCGACGCTATCGCCTTATTCTCCTCCTCTGTCCGAAGGCGCGATTCCGCTAGATTATCATCATGGGCAATCGCGCAGCTCTCCACCGAAGGCGTGGAATGAAGGAATCGCGGAGGGGTGCATTTCGAGAACCACGAGCACGTGCGAGCTTCGTGGGAGCAGGATTTCGCAATCGGGTTACAATGGACACACCGCCAACCGTATCCTCCAAGAGGTAGGTTCCACCAGACTTTCTTATTTCATTCCTTATATTATTTCTTTCTTCCCGTCGTGCTTAACCTACCATTTTTTCAGGCAAACCAAAACAATCATATAACAAAAACCCTAACCTTCGTTCGTCGTTTCCCTATCCCGTGGTGCAGCTCGAAGCTCTTGAGGATATGACGACCAATGGTTCCGCGTACGATACTCGCGACCACCAATCTCCTTTCGAAGCGCCTTCACCAATATCGGCAGAGCAAAATTTAGCGACTCGGCGAACACCGTCCAACCCATCTAAGCCGTCCATAATTGACAGACTCCCTCAGCTAAAATCGTGGAGTTTTAGGAGCAGAGGCGCACCGAGTCGGAGAATGAACAAGAGTCTGACCCAAAAGAACATGTCCGTCCGCATGGCCGAATTTCCAAATCTCGGCAGAAGCATTATCAGCGGAGGGCATCACATGGCGACGCCAAGCCATTGTGAAGAGGAGGGAGCCTTCTGGAAGAATCTGGACGACAGGACCATGATGTTCACGGACACGCAGATTCTGGTTAGCCGGAAGGATATTGAAGCAGATGTCAGCGCGGCTACGCCTACTCGCGCTGCCGTGATTGGCGCTGGGGCGAAAGTATTCCCGAGAAGGCTTCCGGAGCAAGTGGAAGAACCCCACGCTTCGGATCATGAGCACTACTATTCTCAGGCCTTCTATCCCAGATGCAACCATGAGCCGATAATGGGCTGAATACCATAATCAATCTAACTGCGCTGTATATATGAGCTCCTTTTTATTACTATCCTTTATTTTGCTCCATTTCACATGTCCCATATGCAACCACTGTATTCTTTCAAGCTTGTTGGAAGATAATGCGGCGACCATGCCTGTTTCCCGCTTCCCACTCAACACACAAGGTTGCCATTGGCGATTCTCGCTCAACGAACATTTTGCCCGTGGA